ACCACTGTGAAACAATCTCAGAATGAAACAAGCTACTTTAATAAAGTGTTCTAAGAGTGGCAGTCTATCTGATCTTTAAAATATTTCTTTCACACCATTGAAGGGTGTGTATATTCTTTTAAGAAAGCTTGAATCGGAGCCTTAAATGAGTTTGTTTGCTGCGCAAATGTAACATCCTTAATTTGCATCCTCAGGTCAGGGGGATCACGGCCTCTAACTACATACATATGTTGCCTTTAATCTGTGTATTGAGGCTTAATTTAGAATTTGCAGGATGGATACCAAAGAATGAGAACTCTGAGACTCCAGGATGGCAATAAATCTTGAAAAAAGTTTATTAAGAAATTACCCTGGAACATACTTACAGCACCAGAAGGATACAACCCCAAACAGCCGGGCAAGCCCACAAACAGCAACGAAGGTTTCCGGGACACAACTCAGAAAGGGGTGGCTTTCATTGGGCAAGTTTTAGTCAACCTTCAACCTCTCTCCCTCCACCCCAGAGTTCCTTAGTTTAGACATCAGCAAAGGAAGGTTAGCTATTAATGAGTAAGTGTCTAGCAGGCTATGACAAAAGAGGAAAAAAATTGTCTGATTGGGGTTAGAGCTGGAAGTTTGTTATCTCACCGCTCGCAAGAGTAAACAGGAAGAGCTGGCTTATCTAAGCAGCTTCTCTTCCAGGTGTTAACTGAAAGATGCAAGTCAGTCACAGGACAATATACAAGGTAGCTTGACTGGAAATAGAGTTTGGCCTTCCAGATATTCATAAAATCATTAATTGTAAAGAGTTGGAATGACCTCTAATTTCTTACTCAGAGCAGTGATCCAATTTAATCCAAGATAACATTTTCTGTCTTTCTGAACACACCTAGCAAAGGGCCTCCCATGTTACTTCTTTTGAGGCCACCCAACTCCAAATGACTCAGGATGGACTATACTTTAAAGAACAATAAAACAGAAGAAAAAGATGGTGTGTGTCCAGAAGAAATAAAGAGGATACCCTGAAAAAGACAGATGGGGGTCAACAGCCAACTTCTCCCCAGGCCTGGAACCAAGCAAGTTTTTAAAGACTCCAGAACTTCAGAGTGGAAGCCATATGGATCTGTGGGGAGATGCTACCCAGGGGGCAGGTGCCACAAGAGGAGCCCTGCTTCCTAGGTCCCCATAGATGCCATTGTTTCATTGATAGGATGTGGAATGTATCCACTGTGCCCAATCTTACTAGGCAGGCAGAAATAAATGGAGTTGCTGGTTCCACTACCTGACTGTCCTTAATCAGTTGCATGGTGGTTCCCCCCTTCCCATTTAAATCATATCTTGAGTGACTGTAAATACAGGCCATAATATACATGAAGAAACAGCTTTGGGGTTTGTTTCCCCCCCAAGAAAATTCAGCAAACTGTGAATTAGCTTATTCGGACTAGAATAGCAGTTGGGGGTTAAACTTTTAGTTCAACCTTGAAGGAGACAGAAAGACCATTTGCTGTATCTTTTTAAAAACATTCTGTTTTGGGTAACATATCTTTAGAGCTACATAGCTCAAATACCATTTTCCTGCATAATTGAAATATAACAAAATGAATAAAAATAAAGACACAGTAGGTGCATCTTAGAGGATGTTGAGAAGGATATTTCAGAGATGATCATACAATTCTGCCATTATCCAGTTAAGTTCCTCTATGTTAGTATCTGAAAGCCTGGGATTAAAAAAAAAAACTTAAGTCATCTGCAAACTTACAATCATATTTTCACTTGACACCAAGCAATCATAAATCAGTTGAACATTTATTTTCTTAGTGATTTGACTTATGTGCTAATTCAATTGCATCTGACTTTCAGCAGCATACATTCCTTAATTCAGTACTAACACTAAAAACAATATAACAAGCAGTAAGAATATAATCAATTATCTGGGGGGAAAACCAATTGACAGACTTCCCCCACCCCTCTAAATTTGAAAGGTCCTATTCAGACGCATGAAATCCTGAAGGATCTTAAGGTCTGAATTGCTTTTCGAAAACCTAAGAGTTGAGACCAATTGACGTTGGGGGAATGTTATTCCAGAGGAGAAGGGCAGTGACAAAGGCGGCCTGTCCCCGTGGTCCTTGGAGATTCCAGCTCTGAAACTACTTCAAGTAGGTGATCCTCCAGATAATCAACTCCTGAATCACAGAGAGCTTTAAAGGTGACAATCACCATCTTGAATTGCATTTGGAAGCCAGATGGGAACTCGTGCAGGTCTAGAAGTAATGGGATTACATGAGCAAAGCAGTTGGTCCCCAAGGCTACTGTAGCATCTGCATTCTAGACCAGCTGTAGTTTCTAAGTGGTCTTCCAGGCTGGCTG